GGTTCTCCACTGCCTGGAGTGATGCTCAGAGGTCACGGTGTGTGCCGAAGGGGGTCACATGGTGTGTGGATGCATCAGACGGGCAGACAGCTGAGCACTGGGCTCAGGTCTGTCCCAGAAGGCATGTGATGGGACTGGGCCTTGCCAGGCGAGTGCTCCAAGCCTCTGTTATTCCCCGGGTGCCTGGGGTCAGTTTTCTATGACGTCTCGTAGTGCCAGTAACTGATCTCGGGCTAGGCATGCAGCCCAGAGGGAGGGTGCCTGGTTCCCATGTAGGAGGTTGCTGGGTTCCGTCCCAGGCAAAGGAGAGAAAATCCCAACTTGCATCTTTGCCCAGCAGCAATGTCAACAAGAGCTTTTCCCTTCGTTTTTGGTCAAAACAGGAAAGTGGGGGTGTCTGGGGAGATGGCTCAGAGGGCCGGGGCACCAGATTGGCAAGCTGGAGCCCTTGTTCCTTCCCCTGGCCCTGCATGGTTTCCCCAGCACTGTCAGGAACTATCCCTAAACACCAAGCTGAGAAGCACCTCCAAACACCCACCTGTGAACTGGGTGCAGAGGCGGGTTTGCGAGCACTGCTGGGGAGGAAGTCCCAGCATAGGACACTCTCCCCTGAACAACCCTGGGGGGGAGGTGTTGGGGGCGGGGGCGCACACCCTGCAACAGAGGGAGCCCCAGCACACCAGAGCCCTGAGAAATCCAGGCAGAGAACACGGGAGCTTTCCTCTCTGCTGGACTGCCCTGTTCCAGGGATGTTCTGGCTCCTTGGGAGCTCTGTGTAGCTTCCTGTACCCCAGCACCCCCTCCCAGTGAAGGATGGAAACCTCAGATTCCCAGAGAGCTCGGGGGCTGGAGCAATAGCACAGCTGGTAGGCCGACCCGGGTTTGATTCCCAGCATCCCAAATGGTCCCCTGAGCACCGCCAGGGGTGATTTCTGAGTGCAGAGCCAGGAGTAACCCCTGTGCATCGCCGGGTGTGAACCAAAAAGGAAAAAAAAAAAATCCCGGAACTCCGTGGGATGCAGAACACACAGGGTCTGTCCCGCCAGTATGGCACACGGAATGTGTGGATCGATCCTGCCCTCTGGTGGCCTTATGCGGAACTGCAGACAAAGGAACTGTTCCTGTGCCCACCAAACATCTTCATTCCATCTTCTTAGACAGCGAGAGTTTGCGTCGGGTGCCAAGATGAGACAAGAGACAGAACCTCTCTCTCTCTCTCTCTCTCTCTCTCTCTCTCTCTCTCTCTCTCTCTCTCTCTCTCTCTCTCTCTCTCCCTCCCTCCCTGCCTCCTGTATTTTCGACAGTCCCTCCCCACCGCCCCACCTTGAGCTAGTTTGATTACAGCAGTTGCCTCCCTGTGTTCTTCCCGTCTCTGCTCCTCCAGCTCAGAGTCCATCCTTCTGTCCACAGAGGCGTTCTCCGTGCTGCACCCCTCGAGAAGCCCAACGCGAACCATTCTCCACTGTTGAACGCCCCCTTCACATCACCCGTCTCTCTCCTCGGCTCTCAGGAATCCAGGGCCTGTCTTGACTCTCTTATGGGAGACTGAAACTGAGATGAGCAAAGAAACTAAGACCAGCTTCTCCCAACAGGTTCTAGAGTCTGGTTCAGAGCCTTCGCTGGCAGCTTCCCTGGAGACCGACCGTGGCACAGGCCCTGGACGTGGCTGCAGGCCAGGCGCCAGGGAGGCACTTCTCGGCTGTCCGTCTGCAAGAGGCCCCCAGGGACCTGGCCTGTTTGCTGCAGCGCTCAGGCATGTGTGTGGCTCACACTCGACCTCCATCCTGCCCCTGGGCAGGGCAGATCGCAGCACAGCCCACTGGGCCAGGTTGCAGGTCCCAGAGCTATGCCTGGGCAGTGCAGACAATGGTAACAAAATGGTAACAATAGTAACACGGGACCAGGTTCTTCTGACTGAGAGCCCCAAATGCCCCATCCCCTGGGGAGGGTGGCTCAGAGCTCAGATGTCCTGGAGAAGCATCTCACAGCTGAGCTTGGTGCAGTGCTGGCAGGTGCCCTGAAAACCAGAGGCAGCGGCCTTGCGAGGGTCTCGACCACTAGGACCTCAATTCACAGCCCCCATAGCCAGCATGGTTCAGCCCTTCTCTCCGCAACTGGCTCCCTTTTCCCAAGCCCCACAGAAGCAGCTGCAGAGAGAAAGCCAGAAACTGCTTTGTCATAGAATTAAATCAGATATTTAACTAGCACTGTAGCACTGTCACTGTCCTCCCATAGTTCATTGATTTGTTTGAGCAGGCACTAGTAACGTCTCAATTGTGAGACTTGTTACTGTTTTTTGGCATATCAAATACGCCACGGGGAGCTTGCCAGGCTCTGCCGTGCGGGCGGGATACTCTCAGTAACTAGCTGGGATCTCCGAGAGGGACAGAGGAATCAAACCTGGGTCGGCCGTGTGCAAAGCAAACGCCCTACCCGCTGTGCTATCACTCCAGCCCATATTTAGCTAAATGTGTATTATAATTAAAAGGTAAGGTAAAGGTAAAGGCCCTCCCGTTGATCGTCGATTTGCTCGAGCGGGCCCAGTAACGTCTCCATTGGAGACTTTGTTGTTACTGTGTCTGGCATATCGAATATTATAATTAAATACTAATGAATATTTAAACATCCTCTAGGATTTACAATGGGGAGAATTTGAATGATCACTATTTGTTAAACATAGCCGAGGAAAGTATTTATAATACCTATCGCGATGCAATTGGAGAAGAAAGCAAAACAGACTTGGAGGGGGGTGAGGTTGGACCACAGTAAGCTGTGCTTAGGGCTGACTCATGGTTCTGTGCTCAGGGGTCACTCCTGACAGTGCTTAGGGGGTTACATGCGGTGTCAGGGATCAAACTGGGACCAGCTGCATGCAAGGCAGTGCCTTTTCCCCTGAACAAACTCTCTTGCCCCCAAATATGTATTTAAAGCGTTATTAAAGATAGAAAACATGCAAAGGACCGGAGAGATAGTACAGTGAGTAAGGCTCCTGCCTTGCATGCAGCGAACCCGGACTCGATCCCTGGTATTCCGTATGGTCCCCTGAGTACTGGTAGGAGTAATTCCTGAGTGCAGAGCCAGGAGTGCCCCCTGAGCATTGCTGGGTGTGGCTCCAAAGGCGAAATCATTCAAAACCACATTTGAGCGAAAAAGAGGGTTGGCATTAGCACATCATAGTGACTCTTTCCTCCTATGCAGTGCTCGGGAGCTTAGCAGCTACTTCTGGCAGCCAGCCGGGCGAGTGGGTCAACACTTGGTCACGTGCGTGGTGCTGCTGAGACCCTGTGGGGGGAGGGGGCTCCAGGGCCACTCCCGGTGATGCTGATCGGGCAGTACTTGGGAGTACTCGGGTGTTGGTCTCCCCAGCCCTGACCTGGGATTTCAAAGGGCAGAGTGGAGCAGACTGTTTTCTGGTGAGGGTGCCCGGGACGGTCAACACTTGGGGGAGGATAAGGACCACGATGAGGCCTTGATGGGAACTTCTCTGAGTCTCGAGTCCCCCCAGCTTCCAGGAAGGAGGTGGGGAACATCCTCTGCCCTGAGCATCAGCTGGAAGTACCACTGTTGCGACCAGAAGAGGCATGGAGGGCCTGACCACAGGGCCTTGGGGTGAGGGGGGCAGAGCTCAGGCTTCCCCATAACCACTCCTCCAGGGGGTGACCAGGGTCCAAGTCAGACCTGTCTCAGGCCTCCCTCTTGTCCCAGGGAGCCCCAGCTTTCAGCCCCCGATTTCACAGATGGAGTTTGGTTCTGGCAGAGAGAAAGCGCCCTCTCCCATCATTGTAAACCTGCAAGATGAGATGGAGCAGCTAGTCAAAAGCAGGGGGGAGTGGTATGTGCAAAGGTCATGGGGTGGGAATGAGTTTGAGGAAGCCTTGGTAGCACAGGGTCTGGGTGGACAGGCTGGACAGTGACAGCCTCGTCATGCACCTGGACCTCTACTCATTAGGACTCTAATGGGGCACTGAAGGATGAGAATGGGCGTGGGGAGTGGAGAATGTGGCTGTAGGACCCTTTGGACTGTCCTTCCCTGGCCACTGAAAGTCACTTCAAGGTTGAAGTCTGCGGTCATGAAGGCCCCACGCCATCTACTTCTTCAGTCTCACTCCACAGTTGATGCCCCGGGTAAAGACTTTGCGTGGCTTCCAGGGACACCCCACTTCTCCCATGCTCCCCCCTGCTCTGCTGACCTCTCTCCCCCTCTCCTTCGCCACAGTTTCCTGGGCACTGTGACGCGTGATGTCTTTGCAGTTCAGACAAGACTCCCCCTCCTGACCCTCTGCAGTTTTTCAGCCTCATGTGCCTCACTGAGCCCATTCAGCACCCTTCCACAGAGCCAAACATCGCTGGTCCAAATTTGCGTGATTGCCAGCAGTGTCAGTGACGTCCACGAGGGGGCTTCTTAGGGTGTAGGTTACATACACTCAGCCTGGACTGAGGGGCCCAGCCACGCACCGCGGCCAGACTTACCCTGCCGCCTGCTTGCAGGACACAGAGCAGGCCTCCACTGCCCATCGACCCGTGTGTCTCCAGGACACAGTCTTGCGGGCATCTATGCATGCTGTCTGCTCTCATAAGACCCAAGAAACGGAACTGGGTACAGGTTGGCTCCTCCCACATCTTCCTGTAACGCCCCTCCCCCAACTCCTCCGAACTTCAGACCTGCAACTGTCCCCCAGAGACTGCCTGGGCGCTGCCTGGGGCCCAGCCCTGTGGGAGAGAAGGGGGATGGGGGCTAGATAGGCCCAGGGCAGCTGGCAGTGCCCTCCAGGCTGCGGGCACAGGCCCAATCCAAGGCTCTTTGACCCGAGACTCTCCCTCCCCATGGAACACGGGCTGTTCCCTCACTCGGTCCCCACGGGACGCCGTGTGGAAAACGCACAGAAATGCCGTGACAGAGCATGATGGTCTGGGGCCCTCAGCCCCCAGGGGATGGGGGCGTCAGGTCGCAGTGCTCCGAGGGGTGCCCACAATGGCCAGAGAGAACACTGGGCACAGAGTGGTTCTTCTGTAAGTTTTTAATTTTTTTCTAGCAGAAACTATTCACAAAGAAAGGTTCCAGTTTTTATACACAATCCTATAAACAATGTGGGGCCCTGTTTGACAAGGAGGTGGACAAAGACAACATTTTCGCTGGGATGAATATTTGGCCGGCCCAGGTTATGGGATACTCCTCCACCCCCAACCCGGGTCACTTGGCTGCCTCCCTGTCCTGAAAGGATCTGGAGGTTTTCCTGGGGGATGGGGAACCCCTGGGAGACCCCAGAGCTCCTGAATCCTGCCCAGGTGCTAGGCCTTGCTGCTCTGGGGGACCGTCCCCCTGTCCTCGGGAGAAAGCGAGCCCAGCCTTGGGGCTCCAGGCTGTCTGCACCATGTCTGGCTTCTTGGGCTACCCCAAGCCAGCACCAGCACCCTCTGAACGAAAGAAGTCCCCGGCTAGTATTCTCTCGGGGGGGGGGGGGGGGGGGGCGGTCCCTGGAGGCTGCACCTGAGGTCCAGGGAGCTGCGGAGGGAGGCTGAGGAGGAGGGGGAGGGAGGCTGGCCCGGAGAGAAGGCAGGGAAATGGGCCTGCCTACTAGGCGCTCCTCACAGGAGCAGGGCCAGCAGGTTAGCCCTGAGAGCCTGGCCCTCGGGAAGGGGTCCCTGAGGGCTGCCCAACTGACTCAGCACACTGCAAGGGGTCCACAACGGCCAGAGGAAGGGGGCCCCACAGTCCAGGGCCTTGACTTCAGAGCCGGGAAGCCCAGATGGGGCTGGACTAGACTTCACCACTCACCCAGGGGTCCTGCATGTCCCCACGGTCAGGGGAGGGGGCCATGTGCTTGCTCGATTCCAAACTCCAGCCCAGCCTCACGGCCAGGACAGGGTCCCAGCGTTGAAAAAAAAAAAAATGAGGGTCCTGAGCAACGCCTGACTCTGTAGATGGTCCTGGGCTGGCTGAGCCCTGGGAGGGGTCTGCCTCCTTCCGCCCACATCTCATCAGGCCTCGCCTCGCCGTGGGGCTTAGACCCTCAATCCCAACAATTCCCATCTCCAGGATGGGCGTGGGTGAGGGCACCGCCTCTCGGCAGTCTGCTCTGGCCTTGCTTAGGTCAGGCCCAGGATGGGGGCAGGGCTGCCACGCAGGCTCCTGAGTCGAAGCTTCTGGAATTCAAGGGGAGGCCCCGGGCCAGTGACCTCGGTGGTCTGCGTCTGGGTTTCCCTGTTAACAAGCGGGGAAAGAGGGAAGGTGCTACCTCATCGTGCTGCAGTGAAGGAGAAACGAGACCAGCAATGAGCTCACTGCCCGTGTGTCACCGAGCGGGTCCCTTCCGGCCCCCATCCGGCGTCCAGCCTAGGGGGAAGAGGCCCTGACACAGCTGGGGTGTGAGTGTGTATATGTTGGGTTGTGTGTGTGTGTAGGGCAGGACCCCACAGAGCCCTGAGTTCTGTGAGACACGCCGACTATGACGCAAGTGTGGAGCCTGCCGAGTGGGGGGGGAGGGGGTCCCGCGAGGGGAGGGGGTACGTGCTCTGCATGAGGAGGGAGGGTGCCCACTCAATCCACACCACCTGGGCCCGAAGGGCGGGGGTGGGGGGCGGGAGGGGCTGCTTGCTGGGGTCCAGGGGTGTGAGGGCGGAAGCCTGGGAAGGGGGTGCCCTGGGGGGCTCTAGAACACAAGCTTCTTGGGGACTTCCCAGGGAAACTCCTTCCTCCCGAAGTGGCCGTAGCACGCCGTCTTCTGGTAGATGGGCTTCCTCAGGTCCAGTTGCCTGCATGGGCACAGGGAGAGGGTCAGCCCCCAGGAAAGGGCAGCAGCTTCCCTGAGTCACGCAGAGGCCCAGGAGCCTTGTCCCAGGGCTCAGGAGGCAGCAGTGGCTGGACAGGGGCCACCTGCCCCCCTTTGCCCGCCCCTCCGTCCAGGCCTCTGTCCTGTCCGCTCCCTCCCTGTGCCCTCTGGCTCAGAGCTGGGTCCAGCCCACTCGACTTGCAGAGCCATCCCTGCTCATCCCAAGTCCCCTGGGCCCTGCTCAGGGACCCTGAGAGCCACCTCCTGGGAGCTGAGAGACGCCCCTTCTCAGGGACCAGAATAGAGGGGGAGTTCCTGGGTGGGGGGGCAGGCTCCCTCACTTGACAATGACACCAGGCCGGAGGTCAAAGTTCCTGTTCACCACTTCTAGAAGCTCTGCCTCCGTCTTCTGGGATGTCCCATAGGTGAAGAGAGATATGGACAGGGGCTCGGCCACCCCGATGGCATAGGACACCTGGCAGGAGAGAGCAGGGTCAGGACAGAAGGTTCTGCCACACAGACAGTGGGCTTCGGGGTCAGGTTAGATGCTACAGCACCATGACCACCACCCCAGGGACAGTGTGGGCGGGGTCCTGCCCCTCCAACATTGCTCCCCCCACCCCTTGGGGTTCGGGTCGCAGTACCAGTACCACACACCATCACCGCACTGGAAGGGCTGGGTCCCACCAGGTAGGGTTGGGGGGTTTCCCCGGGCCGGGTGGGGTGGGGGGCAGCGCACCTGTACCAGCACTCGCCGGCAGAGTCCGGCTTTCACCAGGGACTTGGCCACCCAGCGGGCGGCGTAAGCGGCAGAGCGGTCCACCTTGGTGTAGTCCTTCCCGGAGAAGGCCCCCCCGCCATGTGCCCCCCAGCCGCCATAGGTGTCCACGATGATCTTCCGGCCTGTGACGCCCGCGTCACCCTGGGGAGCGGAAGGAAGCCATAGTAGAGGAGGGCCAGCACCCTGCCCCCCGCGGGGCAGCCCAGACCCCCCAAACCCCACACCTTGGACCACAGCGGGAGAGACCTCCCTGGGCCAGGACTCAGTCCGAAGCCCCGGGCGCCAGCCTCAGTCCAGAGGCCAGCCTGGCATGAGGTCAGGGAAGCTGCCCGGCACCCACAGAGAAAGAGACGGGTGGGGGAACCGGGTGACACCCAGGGCTGCTGCAGTGCTGGCCTGTGCCACATCACACGTCTCAAGCGTCTTCTTGGTGCAACAGCCATCAGGAAAGAGACTCTCAGAGCATCTTTTGATGACTTGGGGGGAGCAGCCCTCTGTGTGACCCCTCCCCACTTAGAGAACTGCAGCCAATTCTTTTTCTTTTTTTCGGGGGGAGGGGTCACACCCAGTGATGCACAGGGGTTACTCCTGGCTCCTGCACCAGGAATTACTCCTAATGGTACTAGGGGGACCATATGGGATGCTGAGAATGGAACCCAGGTTGGCAAACGCCCTACCTGCTGTGCTATTGCTCCAGCCCCGAACTGCAGCCAAGTCTGGTTCAAGCCCCAGCATCCCGTATGGTTCCCCTCACCCCCACCCCGGGCAGTGCCTGGAGAGATCTCTGAGTGCAGCAGAGCCAGGAGTAAGCCCTGAGCACTGCCGGGTACGGCCACAAACACCGCCCTCCCCCAAATATACAAAAATAACCCCACAGGGATGCCCACCCAGGCCAACGCTGACCCGCGTTTACCCCCTGGTGAGGGCCACCTGGGAAAGGCCAGTCAGGCAAAGGGGAGTTAGCAAATGGGCAAGGTGTGAGGGGTCTGGGGGAGGGGCCAGGCTGCACTCAGTGGGGGAATCCTCAGGATACACCCCTACTTCTCTCAAGGGCCAGCAGAAGACCCCCCCCCATACAAACAAGCCCCAGGGAGCCCCACCACGCTGTCCCTCTGCAACCTCCATGCACAGGGACCAAGGGCCAAGCCGAGGGGCGCACCTGGGGCCCCCCGATGACGAAGCGGCCGCTGGGCTGCAGGTGGTAGATGGTGTTCTTGTCCAGGTACTTGGCGGGCACCACGGCCTGGATCACTTGCTCCTTCAGGGCCCTGCGCATGTCCTCCAGCGTGATGTCCTCGTCGTGCTGCACCGAGATGACGATGGTGTGGATGCGCACGGGAATCACCGCGCCCTTGTCCTGCGAGTACTGCACTGTCACCTGCGGGGACAGGGCGGGGGCGGCACGTGAGGCCCCGGACCGAGGGAGACACGGCGCTGTGGGCTGACCACGGGGGGTTGGAAGCAGGCAGGGCTCCCGGGAGGCCCTCGGGAATGTGCCCTTGGTGGGACCTTGGTGGCGGTACCCGTGTGCCCCCCCTCCCCGGGGACCCCCACTCAACAATGTGGGGGATGGATGTGGGAGGGGGTCAGGCCATGTGTGCGGGGCAGGTCTGTGCCATCCCGCCACAGCGTGAGCCCCCGACCTGCCCCACTCTCGAAGCCCCTGCCTGGTGCCAGGCTGTGAATGCTCTGTCACAAGCTTGTCCTACCTGCGCCAAGGTTAGCACCACCCAGAAGCAGGCGTTGCATCCTGCTGTGACTCACTGGAGTCCCATCCTCTGCCTTTGAGATTTCTGACCCTTGACCAAAGCCCTCTCTTGGCTCTCGAGGGCCGAGGGTTCCCACCTCCTGCCTGGGGGGTGTGTAGGACACTCCACTTGCATTCACTGGAGCAGCTCTGCCCGTGTGCGGGGCCAGTGCCTGTGGCTGCCCAGGATGGCTGAGGAGGGCTCAGGCCAGGGTGCCCGAGCAGGCTGCCAGCCCTGCAGCTGGACACCGGTGGGCGTCAGCACGGCAGAGCAGGGAAGCAGAGCGCCCCCGAGTGGGGAGCTGTCTGTGGGGCCCCAGCCCGTCTCACGCCAGGGTCAGTCTCGAGGCCCAGTTCTGCACAATCCACTCAGAGTTAAGCTGCCCCAGAGCAAGACAGACACTCCCTCTTACAGGCAGGAAACTCAGGACTCTGAGAAGCAAACTCCTTATTCTAAAGTCACGCACGGGCAGCGCGAGGCCAAGAAGGCAAACCCTGCTCTGCCAGAGCCAAGGCTGTGTCCATCTCCTGCAGTGTCCACCAGCAGCTTCTCCATGGTCCCTGCCCCTTAGGGACACGTGCCTGAGCCTGACCCTGGTAGCACAGAGCAGTGTGGGCGGCCTGAGCTTCTAGAGGGCGAAGGAAGGAGCTGACAAGACCCGGGTAGGGAGAAGTCAGCGCCGCCCGCTGCAGGCCCATATGCTGGGAGCCTGGCCAGGAGCCCAGAGCAGCTGTGACAGGCCCTGCTGTCTCACAGCCTTGGAGCTGAGACCTGGGGTGCTGTGGGGGCTGCTATGTCAGATGGCCCATAGGGAAGCAGCAGGATGGTCCCAGAGCCTCAGGAGGACCAGGGGGCAGCAACAGAGCATGCCAAGGCCTTTGCCTGCTCAGTTGGCTGTGCATCCAACGCACAGAGCAAGGGGGCTCCTGAAGCGGGGAGGGCGAGAACCCTGTCCAGGTACAGACAGTTGGCCGGCCGGACTGAGGCCCACAGGACACACACAAACAGCTGGACTGTGTCTAACACAGGTCCGTTCAGAGGGAGCCAGCTGGGGCTACAGGGTGCCCGGGAGGGGCCCTGTGGACCAGAGCCGCTGCATCAGGCCTCAGGCCCGGCTCCCCAAGCCCCACGCCCCCGTACCCCAACTCAGCCCCAAACTCAAGCCGGGCCCTTGCAGACGTGCAAAAGAGGGAAGCAGTGGGGTCCGAGCAAGGCTCTTATCTCATCACGTCAGCAAGCTGTGGAGAAAAAAAACACAACCCGGAGAACACGTTCCGGACCAGGAGCAAACACAGCCCTGGCACCGCCACTCCGTGCTCGCTATCTCCCCTGCGCTTATTCAGGTGCAGAGACTCATCCTGTTCCCAGTCAACGCTGGTGAGACGAGAGGCTGGAGGAGAGCCACGGAGCGTTCCCTCCACAGCGCCCTCGTGGGGCGGGGAGTCCCTCACAGGGCCTCGGCCCACCGCACAGACCCTTCCTCGGGGCATGCTGAAGGTAGGGGGGCCCTTCAGTGTCCAAGGGAGCATTCAATGATCTACTTTTAAAACCAAATCACATCACAGTCTTGTGCTTTTTAGAAACACACACACACGTGCACGTAAACACGCATACACACATGCACCCACGTGCCCAGCAGAGCTCAGGGCTAGCACTGGCTCACACACAAGTGCTCGGCCAGATGTATGGCAGCGCCCTCCCCTGCCCTCCAGGGTGCGCTGTGGAGAAAAATCCCAGTGTCCCTGCAGGAAGGACCCTGTGTCCTGTCCACCCTCCCTGCCCCAGTCAGTTCCCTTCTCTCGCCCAGTGAACTGCGGGTACCTCTGTGTGCCACGCTGACCAGGGACCAGGAAGGCGCCGCCCATGCTCCCATTCTGGGAGCTGCTCTTCTGTGAATCTGTCTGCCACAGGTCCACAGAGTTCCAGGACAGGGGTGGGCAGGGCTGGGCAGGGCCAGGCAGGACACTGCCCTGTCAGCCTCACTGGGGGCCGTCCTGCCCCACAATTTCAAGCACACCTGAGCATCCCAGTCTGAGGTCACATGAATGACCCACTGCGGGGCGTCCTCTCGGACACAGGTGTTCTTCCCTGCCAACCTCAGTACAGCCCGGATGCCGCCTGGGGGAAGGGCTGCGTGTCTGGGACGGAGGCCCGGGCACCAGTTGGGGCTCCAGAACCACGCCCCCAGGCAGAGGGTGCCAGAAGGCCCCAGCTGGGGGTCTCGGGGGCGGGGGAACCTCTCAGGGAGCCAGGCATTCTGTACCCAGCAGCAGGCGGGGCTCAGAGAAAGACTCTAACTTAGGCCAAGGGTGGGAGCTCGGTGGGAGACACCAAGAAACAAGGGGCGCAGCTTTGACTCAGGCTGGGCAGGGCACACGCAAAAGGTCAAGCTGGAAGGAACAACAAGTGAAGCCTGAAGGGGGTGAACTGAAGCGTCCAGTGGGGAGAGCCTTGGGGGTGGGGGTGGGTGGGGCAGCCTGGGGCCAGCCTGGGAGAGGCTGGGCTGGAGCTTGAGGGGGGCTTCAACCTCTCCACACACAACCCCCTTTTTTGTCCCAGACAATTCATACAACCTTGGGGCTAGAGGTACAGAAAACAGCCAGGTCAAACATTCACGGGTACTCAATCATTAACAAATGTATTTTCAAACAAATTTCTAAATGGGGTCACAGAACGTGGGGAGGGGAGCTGGGAAAAATAAAATAGCAATGCTAAAAATTTTCTAAATGCCTACCCACCAAAAATCACGCCCGAATCAACTGTTGTCGTGGATCTGCAAGCACGAATTCTGGGTCTTGAGGGGGAAGAGGCGGAAACAGCCCTGCGTGAGGCAGAGAAGCTGGAGCGTGGGGCAGGGAAGGCTGCCCCCTTGTGTCCTGCTGCCGGGGAGGATGGCCCACGGCAACCCTGGGCCCTGGGCACTGAATGGGCAGAGAGGAAAGCTGATTCGTCTGCACAGCAGAGAGGCACCGGGAAAGAGAGCCAAAGAAAGGGCGCGTGGGGGTCATCGGGATTAACCAGGGCAGGGGACGGGGCGCAGGAGGTGAGGGCTGAGCTGACACTTGCATCATCACTGCCCTGCAAACAGAGAACTTCAGTGCAGCTTTCCACACTGCCCGGGGGTACAGAGGTCAAGACCTAAGGGGACAGGGTCAGGAAGAGCAAAGGCAAAGTTCTTCTGGGTAAGAGAAAGGTGGCAGCAAGGTATAGCCAGCACCGGTCCACGTGGGCCCAGCCTGTTCAAGGCTTGGACACCTGTGCCCGTGGACAGGCAGGGGCAGAGGCCGAAGCCAGACAGGGACTGGCCGAAACTGAGCCCTCACCAGAGGCAACGACCGCCTGCTAAGGAGGCAAACACGCGGACCCATCCTTGCGGCTTTCTTGCCTCTTTGACAGCGAAATATCAACATTCCCTCCTGAAGAGTTTTCCAATCAATGATTGCTGGTGGAATTCGCAGTTCATGGTGTGCCCAATGGTCTGTTTTGACCTTCAGCATGGCACGAGCAGGGGTGGGTGCGGGGAGTGTGCCCAGAACTCTATGTGACGGGGAGCAAGGGGCTCACCTGGGTCTTCGAGTCGGGCCTCAGCCAGGGGAGGACCCCCGAGCGCCTCAGCTCCGCCATGCGGGCGTTGAGCTTGTGAGCGAGGATGATGGTGAGTGGCATGCATTCCTCCGTCTCATCCGTGGCGTAGCCGAACATCAAGCCCTGTGGCAAGGCAAGGAGCCCATTTCAGACAACAGGGTGACAACTCCCTTCCCCAGGGGTCTGAAACCACCCGGGCGGCTCCACCAGCATCGAGAGGGCCTTGGGCATGGACTATTGGCACTGGGTCCATGTGGAGGGAAAGATGCCAGCGGCTAGGAGGGGGAGATGGGCCCAAATCTAGCATCAGCCTCAGCTGGACCCTGCAGCAAGGGTGACCAACTGACCCAACCACAGACCTCCCCGGTGGCTCTCTTCAAGGAGGGGACTGTCCCACACAGAGACCCAGGCACTTCCTGGCTCTCCATGGATCAGAGCTGGGCCAACCACACCGAGGCCCTGACCTCGTGCGGCACTGACTTACCTGGTCCCCAGCACCCACGTCCTCTTCGTTTCTGTCGAGGTGGACGCCCTGGGCGATATCTGGGGACTGCTGCTCCAAAGCCACCAGCACGTTGCAGGTCTTGAAGTCAAAGCCTGGGCAGGAGGGAAGGCAGGCCTGAGCAGGGGGGGCCTCGGGCCCGATGGAGGTGGCGGCAGGTGCCCAGGGGACTGTTCAGTTCTGACACGGCGTTTTGTGTGGGAGCGGGAACCGGGGTCTCTACACCCGTGTGTCAATGAGAGCTTCCCATGCTAGCAGGAGGAAGTCCGCAGTCAAAGAAATCCTTCTCTGAGCACTAAGTTACACTGTGGTTGTTAAAGACAGGACCCATGCCGCATCCCAAGAACCAGGGAACAGCCCAGCTGCACCAGCCGCACGGCTGGGGGTGGCCACGCACTTGGCCTCCCCCAGAGGCTCTGCCCAGGACCTGGAACAGTGACTGAGAAATCACGGAGTAGGCCCGAGTGAGCCAGGTATGAAACACCTGCACAAAACGGCACATACAGGACCACGCTGGGGCTTGGCCAGAGCCAGGGACCTTAGTCCGAGACAGACCTGGGGATGGAGAAGCTCAAGAAGTCACACCCAGGGCTGGAGTGATAGCACAGCGGGTAGGGCGTTTGCCTTGCACGCGGCCGACCCGGGTTCGATTCCCAGCTTCCCATATGGTCCCCTGAGCACCGCCAGGAGTAATTCCTGAGTGCAGAGCCAGGAGTAAACCCTGTGCATTGGCGGTGTGATGCAAAATAAAAAAAATAAAGAAGCCACACCTTGGCAGCTATGACCCGTCCTGCTCATCCCAGTGAGCTTGGGCATGAGGGAGTGACTGGCCCCCCACAGGCCGCCACAGCATGCTGGGTGCCGGGGCCCACACAGCCAGCCTGTTCCCCTCCTCACTGATTTTTGCAGCCATGGCAGGTGCCCCACCTGGTGTCGTTCCTTCTGGCACAGACACGTGGACAGCCTCCACACCCAGAAGCACAGCTGCCCGCAGAGCTGGGCTCTCTCACTCCTGCCTGTTTTGGGGACTCTGGCTCCTGGGAAACCTCCCTGCTGCCAATGCAGGGCGCAGCTTGGCCAGCTCTTGAGGAAGATCTAAGTGTGCGTAAACAAGCGGGCTTTCCTGGTAGAAGAGGCAGCTGGCCGCGCCTGGGAACGTGGCAGGAAGCTGGAGCCCTGTGTGTCCCATGAGGTGCAGCCTGTGAGCTGGCCGGCATGCAGCATCTCACTCCCCTGGACTCCTGACTGACACCCACTGTCCAGCTCCCACAGGGAATGCAGCGGTGGCTGCTTCCTGGAGCGTCAAGCTTCATGGGTATGAGCAGTGACAAGGGCCACCTTCCGGCCTGCCCGCCCCCAGGAAGACACCACCCGTCACCTTAGAACCACCCCCGAGGGAACAGCGTACGTTCCAACAGGGCTGGCTCTGCCAGGTCACCTGATTGGCTTGGTCTGGAGGTGGGCTGTTGACGCCCCTCTGCTGAAGGTCACAGCACCTCTTTGAGGGACCACAGGAAGCTCAGAAAGAGCCCAGAGATCCTCAAGAAAGTTTCCCAGGCTGGAGCAATAGCACAGCGGGTAGGGCGTTTGCCTTGCATGTGGCCAGCCCGAGTTTGATCCCCAGCATCCCATATGGTTCCCCAAGCACCACCACCAGAAGTAATTCCTAAGTGCATGAGCCAGGAGTAACCCCTGAGCATTGTTGGGTTCGACTCAAAAGGCAAAAAAAAAAAGAAAGAAAGAAACTTTTTTTCTACGGCCAGAATTACCTGCATGATCTATGATCTAAAGCTGGAGGCCATCACTTTGTGTCTCTCTAAGCCTCAGTTTGCTCGCCTGCTTCACCATGGGTGATTAGAAGACACGGACACTGCACCCAGCATGGGGGCAAGGCTGAGAACGCATCCCTGCAGGTCTGCACCTTCCCTCCCCCAGCCTTTGCCCACACTGTGAGGGCAGGACCTCAGACCAGCCCAGGACGTGGGCTGACCCAAAAGGGCACAGTCAGGGGCTGGAGCAATAGCACAGCGGGTAGGGCATTTGCCTTGCATGCAGCCAATCCAGGTTCGATTCTCGGCATCCCATATGGTCCCCTGAGCACTACTAGGAGTAATTCCTGAGTGCAGAGCCAGGAGTAACCCCTGTGCATCACTGGATGTGATCCAAAAAGCGGTGGGGGGTGGGGAACGGACACAGTCACCTAGGTGACCATACTTTTACCAGTCAATTTGACCTCTGGACCCGAACAAACAGGCCTCAGAATTTCCCATCCCCCTCATCCCCCCTGCTGGGGGTTTTATTTGCACTTCTACAAGAAGAGAGTCTTTGAGAGGACTCAGCTCCAGGGTGGGGGACTCTGGGCCGGGGGCGGGGGGGGGGGGGGGGGGGTGTGCCTTGAGGACCCAGGACTCACCCTTGGCTGAGTCGTCGTAGCCGATGTGCTTGATGGCGTCGCGCACCACACGCTGGTAGTCCACCGTGGCCCTGGAGGTGATCTCCCCGCACAGCAGCACCATGCCCGTCTTGCACACTGTCTCTGCAAGGGCCGGGAGCTGGTGGGCGCCCGCCCCTCCCCCCGCAGCGCTGTGGAAACTCCCCCACGGGGAGCTCCCTGGTGATACAGGGTTCCCGGGAAGGAAAGGGTGCCAGGGAAGAGTGGGGTCCCCACCCAAGTTGCAGCCCCCTGCCAGCGGTGCCCTGGAGACACCCTTTGCTCTGGAAAGAAGGGGCCATCCCTTAAGCGTTCATGCCCAGCTCCTTCACAGAGCGTTGACAGAGGAAGGCATGAATGCTTAGGGCATTTGCCTTGCATGTGACCAGCCTGAGTTTGATCCTCAGCATCCCATAAGGTTTCCCAAGCACCACCACCAGAAGTAATTCCTAACTGCTGTGTGGTGTTCCTGAGACAAGAGGTGTGTATGTGTGTGTGTGTGGGGGGGGGGGGGTGCTGGAGTGACAGCACAGCGGTAGGGCATTTGCCTTGCATGCGGCTGATTCAGGTTTGATATTGTTCCCCCAGATTCGCCAGGAGTAATTCCTGAGTGCAGAGCCAGGAGTAACCCTTGTGCATCACTGGGTGTGACCCAAAAAGAAAAAAAAAGTGTGTGTGTGTGTGTGTGTGTGTGTGTGTGTGTGTGTGTAATGCAGTCAACTAACATGGCCTTTCGTGCCCCTCTATGGCTAAGGCTCCACTGCAGGCTTCAGGCATTGGGGTTCTACACTGTGACCAAGGCAGAGATGCTTTCCTGCTGGCTACTTTTAGCAGGGTGATGTCTATACTCCGAGGGTTGCAGGGTCCTCAGTGCCTGACCCCAGGGCCGGGGTGGACCTGGAGAGGGAAGGAGCAGCCTGCAGAGCTCAGGTCAGGGGGCTGACAGGAGGAGAGTCCAGCACCTGGACCTTTGAGCTGCTCAGTAGTGAGAGCAGCATCTGGTCACCTCCCAGGGCCCCTCAGCTCGGAAGTCCCTGGCTCTCTGATGTGCCTATGACTTCCACACAGAAAAACGGTTGAAGCCCCGGGCAGCTGGGCCTTTAGCTGGAAGGAAAGGGCATTTCTTACCACAGGCCACCTTGGCGTTGGGGTCCTGCTGGAGGTGGGCATCTAGGACCGCGTCACTGATCTGATCACAGATCTTATCTGGATAAGAACAGATGTGCATGAGAACCAGACAGAACCCCGGCAATAACACCCAAAATCTAAAATAAAGATACCTTTTTGTCAGTTCACTGATCAAGTCTTCATATGGAAGAGGCCCACTTGCTTTAAACATGAGCAGGGATTTTTTTTTTTTGAAACTTCGATTTCTTCCCATTTCTGCCTGATTTTTTTTTTTTTTATCATGTGCCATCAGGGATTCCCTAAAATTATCTGTTCTAAATTATCTCTAAGAGTCTAAGAAATTCATACACACATACGCATTCTTCTAACGCTCTCTCATTCCTCACCACCTCCCCATTAATTCTGACACCTAAGGAACTTCAGAAAGAAAGTTCACCTCAATAACTAGTGTCAGATCAGTGCCAAGTTGTAGTCTCAGAGGGGACAAGCAGAGGCACTGTACCATGAGACGCTCGGTGCACTGTCTCACCCGCATCCTCAGAATTCTGAGAGCTGCCACTTATCACTGGCGGTTTACAGGCTGCTTCAGGGGGTGACTCTCAGATCACACCCAACACCACTGTATTTACCCACCCCTGGCAAAGTAGGACTGATGAGAGCTCGGGACTGGGGGTTGGATCTTATTCTCCCACTATTGGCCTTCAAGATTCCACTTGGTTGAGCATATTTATCACTAAGTGGCACTTAAAAAAACATGCTGTAGCATTGGGGGTACATGAACTGTCCATGTTCTCAAACTCAAAACTGGAAGTGACAGCTATTTATACAAATCATCGCTTATTTTGTGCTCAAAATGCCCATAGACTCTGCACTAAACAGACTGCGTAATTCCTCCCCGCCCCCCCCCCCCCCCCCACTTCACTGAGGTATGACTGCTGGACCAAAATTTTGCATATAATTAAATGTTTACAATTTGGTAAGCTTGGACATAAGAATACACTCACATTACCATCACCACAATCAAGATGTTATATACAAATATATGTATATACATATTTATCACCTCTAGAAGTTTCCTTGTGTCCATATTTTTTTTTTTGCGTGTGTTCTTAGTTTTTAAATTAATTCAAATCCAGAACCTAGCAGTCCTGCTCTCAAAAGTATGCATTAACATGTCCTTTAAAAAAACAGGGAAGGGGGCTGGAGTGATAGTACAGTGGGGAGGGCATTTGCCTTGCCTGTGGCTGACCAGGATTCAATTCTCTATCCCATATGGTCCCTGAGCCCTCCTAGGAGTGATCCCTGACATAGAGCCAGGAGTAAGCCCTGAGCACTGGGTACCTCCCCCCCCCCCCCAGAAAAAATGCCCAAACAATAACCAATTAGCTTATGGTTTAGGGTAAATTCCCTCATTTCCTCTCTGCTGTTTATCTTCCCGCCAATGACAGGTGCTGGTGGGAGCTCCAGGCTGTGAGTTCACAGCCTGCTCTCCCCAATCCCCCGCCACTGCCCACTCTTAATGCATCCACCAGCCTGCCCAGTGGGACTCTGAGGTGCCACATCCATGCTGAGCATGGATGACCCTGCTTGTTTCCAGGACACAGGTCGTATTTCCCCAGTGCACACGGGGAAGGGGACAGGGGTGTTAAGGATAAAGCAAGCATATAAAGATTGTACACAGGTGAAGGAAACGCCTAAGGAGACTGCTTGGGAACAGTTTCTTTAGATTTTTAAAGTTTCTATCAAGACCAGTGAGTGGCTCAGGAGAGCCAATAGCTGCTTTTTTTTATATAGTTAAAATAAGATGCATCAACTTTATCTTTCTGCCAGAGAGGAATTTCGGCACTGGGGTGACAAAAAGGAACCTGACTACTGAGTTCCTACACAGTGGCAAATGAAAGGGATATCAGAGTAATGGAAGGGCTGCCTTCGGGCTGACAAAACAATGAATCGTTTGAAAGGAATTTTCATTCACTGTGTGGAGCACGTCGCCTTGTGTCTGATGGTGCATCTGTCACTGCATGCCAAAGTGCCTGCTTCTTCCAGGTGTCACAGATTTTCCCCCTAACTTATAAATGACCTTCGTAAGCCATGGAGCTGTCCGGAATTTGCCTGATATCACAGGGTGGTAAACCTAGAAATTCTCTATAAAGCTAGGAACAGTGAAAAGAGGCTATTTATGTTAAATTTAGCTAACGTCCATATAAAACTTAATTTAGTCAAGTCTTCTCAATAGAAGCCCTATTTGGCATTTGGAGCCATTTTTGCAGGGGGGAGGGGATGGTGGTCTTGTGTATTCACCAGGTTGAACTTGTGTTTCTCCTCTATCCGCCAAATGCAGCTGCTTTCCCCTGTCAAGATCTGGGACAACCAAATGTTTCCAGACATTATAAAACACCGGGGGAAGGAGCAAGTCACTCTGCAGGCAGCACCGCTGACACATATGTCAGGAGTATGCCCTGTGCCCTCCAAAGCTAAGACACCAGGAGTTGATGCTGAATATTTCTACAATCAGGATAAGGGAGAATAAAGGAAAAGAAAAGTGAATGTGGTGACATGGCACCCCAGACTTCAGGGCACAAACGGTTTCTGAGGAAGTGCTTCAGCACATAAATCTAGTCCCCGGGTATGTCTAGCCCCGTTTTTCTCCCTAGGACACACGTTTTTCAATATGTGGCTCTCACACTGGTAACATAAATTTGGAAACATCAAAAAATGGGGAATCTTGAACCTCACCCGAGACTGAGCCAGAAACTGGATGCTGAGACACCCCAGAGTTTGAGAACAGCTGTTCTAAAACTCCAACAATCCTCAGGGTTGCCGAGAAAGCTCTCATTTCTCCACATCACAGTCCACCCACCTTTCGGGAGTGAGATGCATGCTTGCGTTCACGACTTCTTCCAGGAATCGTCTATGTATCTTTTAGCTCATAGACCAAAGGCTTTCCGGAGGACCTGGGGTATCTCTCAGGCACCTCAGAAGGCACAACTGTCCACTTCTCCATCTGCACACACTTGACAAGCAAAACCCTGGTTGTATTCAGGGCAAACAGTCTCGGCCCACTGATAACAGCTGCCACAACATTACATACAGATGCTCACATCTGCCCATAACCATCTGTGTGTATCAGAATGCTGAGCTATCACTTCTCTTCCTGTGTGGTCCCATCAGGTGAGACGCTAGCGCGGGGAGCAGCATGGATCCTTAGGTTTGTTAGCTTACAATTCTGTCATCTGCATCGTCAGTGTTTTTTTTTTTTTAAAAAAACACTTGTTTCTTTTTGCAAAACTACAAGTTAATAGAATTTTTTAAATTGCTGCCGTTGTCCTCCAGAAAGCTGTCACAGAAATCCCCTCACGTTTGTTGTTGAGACCTCCCTTGCTTACCGGTGGCCTCCGCCCAGGACAGCCCCCTTACCTGGATGTCCCTCTCCCACAGACTCCGACGTGAACATGAAAGCTCCGTCCTCACGAGAGCGGTCGTACTTGCCGTCCACGGGGCCATTCATCTTGGCGCTGGTCTGCTCCGCTGCTTCAGGGCAACTCCGATGCTTTGACTTGATCTGAGGTCTTTTTTTTTTTTTCTTCCTCCTTTAAACCCGACGGGCTTGTCTTTTGCAGAGCCACGGGCTCACTGGGCTCACGTCTGTTTAACTCCCTCCGAGCACGTGAGAAGAGTGTGTGGGGATGGGTGAGAAGGGAGGGACTGGATCCGGATATGTCACTCCCTCTCACTGGTCAGAGCTTGCTCCTGAGAACTCCTATATATGGAAAAGTGAAAGTGCCTGAATAATCATGTGAGAAAACTGGAAGGGTTCATTTCCGGGGGGTGGGGGTGGGTGGAGGGTGGGCGGGGAGAGGGGCGAGAGGGGCATGTCTTCGCACCTTGAGGAATCTCAGTCCCCAACTCGGCTGCCCCCAAGCTCTGCGCCTCTGGCCAATGTCTGAAGGTTGCAGAGATTCCATGGCACGAGAGCACATGTGGATCTCGGCATCAGCTCTGCAGCTAGCTTCCAAACTGCTGCTGGGTTCACACCCCATGTTGCCGGGTCAGGGGGCTGTGGTGACTCAGGGAGGCCAGCAGGCAGCAAGACACATGTTGTCCCAGAGATATGGCTTAGGCGAAGATTGCAACACAGAGTGGGCTCCCCCCAACCTCCCCCGGGGTCAAATCAGGATTGGGCTATTCCCCTTCCTCAATTTTCTAAGAGCAAGAACTTGTACCTGTGTCCTGAGCCAGTGTGGACATTACACAACAGGCTCATGCGAGAGGAAAAGCTTCGATGTCCACATTTTTTAACTAATAGGGGAAAAAAATCTATGCTGCTACACGACAACCAAGACGTCTGCACAGTATCTGGACAGGTTACAGAGAATGATTATTTGAGAGGCGGCTTCGCTAGACGGAAGCTGTCAGCAGCCTCTCCAAATTTCCAGGCGATCAATGCAACGAGTGTACATATTCGCCTCCGTACACTTGATAAACATCCTGCTCACGTAACTCCTGCTTTGGCCAAGAGAAGTAGACGGGATTGTGTCTTTAACCAAGTCATGCACAAAGTGACGGCATCGCTCCCTGCATTCTCTCCCACTCTCAGACTGAGCTGCATCCTCAGGCCCACAGAACAATGGGGAATTGAGATCACGGGGACTGAGGAACCGGTTCTTGCTAGAATGTAATAAAAAAATAATCAACCAAAAACCTGGAAAATCAAAGATCGGGACTGTGGGAAGCAGAAGGTAGAATTCCAGAGCCTCAGCTAACAACGCTGGTGACGGAAGGCCCTATGAATGCAACTATAAATATGATTATCTGAAACTTTTTCGGGTGCACGCTTAATCTTGAATTTCACTAATTGGCCAGTAGGGGAGAAACGATATTCCAAGAAAGTATATATACAACTCTATTAAAGTCATCATTTCTGGGGGGGTGGGGCAAGGAAGGGATTTCATGCCTACCTTTTTGACCACAGGCATTTAGCAGAGGACTCTAGCACACTCACGCACAGGATTGCTCAAGTTTGGGGAGGAAAAGGCCACTTGGGAAGCGGTAGGAAAATGAGGAGTCAAATAGGGACTTTAGACGACATGGGCTTGTCTGTGTCAGCACACAGGATTCCTCCTGTTTGCACTGAGAGTATTTCAACACCGCTGTCCCTTTGTAAATTTCTTCTGGGGACATTGGCTCCAAACCTGGAGGCAACATAGGCTAATGTTTAATTGGACAATTGTAGACTGGGGTGACCATCTCAGTCAGACCTGGAGTCTTTGCATTCTAAGTTGGGGTGAAGAACAACACCCACCTACTCACCCCCCAAAAGAACCAGATGAAGTTCAAGTATCAAGTGTTCTTTAAGTTCCTTAGAGCTACATAGAAAAAGAAGAAGAAAAGTAGCCTAACAGCAGCATGACGGATTGAAGAGGTGGGGGTGGGAGTGGGGGTGGGGGTCAGAGGTCAGAGGGCAGGGGCTTCTGGTGAGGGAGGCAGAACTCCTGAAGTGAATGAACACAGCAGGACCCACATCCAGAGTGAGGGACGGATCTGGACGACAAGTGGTTCAGTACCCGTCCCATGTGCGCGTCTCATATAACATCCGGAAGTGCTAGGGTTGCCTTTGATGTTGAATAAGGGCACTCGACTGCTCTCAGTAGGTACAGGCTCACACAGTGCAGAGCGCACAGAGGCTGGGCAGGGACTTCGGGCTGGAGTCTCACTTTTGCTCCTAACCTGCTCAGCTGCTGGGACAGGCTTCAACCCTTCTCTAGGCCTCTGCTTCCTCATTTCTAAAGCTGACACCAATGATTGCCTACCTCACCATGTTGAGTCTAGAGTCTAGAGTATAGGACTAGCATAGAAGAGTTTACCATAATGTTATATAATAAGATAAATTGGGCAGACATGGTTCTCTTCTAAACATAAACACATATATACTGCTTCTTTTTTTCCCACCTGTAATTTAAAAAAGTTTTTTTTCCCCCAAAAGTAGTTCACAATAGTTGATAACATTTAATATTCAAATACCAATCCCACCACCATTACACCTTCCCATCACCATATTTTGGATGTTTCCATCCCAAACCCCAACCCCTGCCCCAAAGCAGAACCTAAATAATTTAATTTGTATTACATTGCTTCTTATAAAATCCCTTTCTCCGTCTGCTAGGGCTCTCTTTCACATTTCTAGCTCTGATGACCTCATTCTTAGCATTTTGATTGTATCTCACAACGAGGCTTCATGGTGAGTTGTTTATCCAATCCTTGATTAGTGGCTGCTCTAATTGTCTTATATCACCATAAAAAAAAAAAACCCTGTTCACTGGCATGCTTTCCTGAGTTGATAACAGGCAAGGCAATGGCAATGCTGACTTAGTGAAAACATCTCCCTTTGGTAATAACTCTGACGTTAGATAAAAGAAATAACATTTCAATCCAGAGTAAAGAGGAGTTTCCACCTCCCCTCAGCATGCCCTGAGAGAGAATGGGCGGATCTCAACAACCGTGGAAATACTGAAGAGAACTGACCCCATGAGGACTTTGGAGGTTAATTTGCCATCATGCACCCAAACGTGGGCACAGACTGTCCTGTTTTTCCTTACGTGTGAACTGTCCTAATGCCCCTAGCCCCACTGACAACCTAAGTTCATTCAATGTGGCAAAGGCCCACAGTCAACTGCACTTCCATGTGGCAACCTTCACCTCTGAAGTCTTGCTAAGGAGCCCCTGAAGAAACTTGTCTTTGCTAAGAAGTCTCCGTTTTCATCAGAATCAGTCCTCATGGCTCCCTAAATTAAAACTTTCTGCCCACTGCCAGTGGTGTAAGTCAGCCCAGTTTCCCAGTGTCCAAGGAAGACCTGAGGCTTCTGAACAGGGCAGAACTGTGGCACCCCTCCCATTCCAGGTCCAAGAGCACCCCTCACCACCCAGCACTATGGCACCCGAAGTCCATGCCACAGACTGAAGAACAGGCAGTTTGGATGGCTACACTGTGGGGCAAAAATGATGCATGCAGCCACCTCTGAGATGCTGTTTTACGTGCAAACATTTCAAAATGGCAGTAACACCACCCTGCCCCAACCCCACTGCCGCCGACTTAGATGGTACGATAACCACACGAAGTATTTTCAAGAAAATATCTGTCTTTGCCTTCCATAACTTAAACACAAACAACTCTAGGGAAAGAATAACTGGAAGAAAAGGCAAAAATCTATTCAGACTACACATTTGTAAATTTTAGGTAGTTCCAACAATATCTGACCTTTTTTGATTAAAGCAAAAAAAAAAAAACGCAAATAAGATCCCCACACACAGCAGTTGTTCTGAAAAGGCAGAAGTAGTTCTGGACAGATTTAATGGAAAGAGCAGATCTGAGATGAATCCCAAAGGATTGATAATTTTTTAATGTAGTAGGGAGACAAGGAAGATAGAAACTGCCGGCAGTGAGCCACGGTCTATTCAAGCGTAATCGTCTGATTCGGGTTGTTAGGCATTTGAATCAATCAATGCTCATGGCCAAATTCGTGTTGACAAGGACACTGACACCACCGATGCCTCTATTGTCGCATGTTCCAAGGAACAATTCTCCAGTGACAAAATGGCGTGATGTGATCGATGCCTTCTTGTCTCAGTCAGACCAATGATGATGTACTTGATCTTCTGCGCTTGCACCATCAGGTTCTCAATGGATGCTTCTGATGCCAGCATACGTGCGTTGAAAGTATAGTCATTTTAGTCCTTCGTTTTGGCAGCCTAGTTCGGCCCTGAGATTTTATCAGCCCCACCTTGCTCATCTTTCTTAACGCTGCCTGTATTGGGGGCTCTTTCAGGGTCAGGGGAATGAGGCCCATTGTTTTTAACTGTTTTTAGCATGTTGAATACGGCACAGGTAGCTTGCCAGACTCTGCCGAGCAGGCAGGATACTCTTGGTAGCAGGCCGGGCTCTCCAAGAGGGATGGAGGCTTTTAGGGCAGCCTCCAGTCACCCTTCCAGGTGTTCCCATGGTTCACACCATATTTGAAACCCAACAAATATAGTGCGGTAATCATGAAAAATGGGTATTAAGAGTCTTAAATGTGCTGCGTGGCCACAAAGTGTCTACATCTATGTAGTCTATGCACCAACATCCAACATCAAGAAGAAATTGAGAAGTTCTACATGGTGCTGGTGAAGTTCTATAAAGAAAACCACAAGATCAGGTGATTTTAAAGCCAAGCTAGGACAGAAGAGGTCATCTGAAGAACTCCACATCAGGACCCATGGTCTAGAATGGAATGAACAGGATGAGAGGCTGTCTGAGTTCATCATATCAACCAAGACCATCCATGGTAACTCACAGTTCCAGAAGGCCGAATCCAAATGTTGGACATGGGAGTCTCCCATTGGAAAGTTTCACAATGAAATTGACCATATCATATTCAATTGACAGTTTTGCCTGACTGATGTTGCTGTTGTCCCAAAATTCCAAATGGGATCAGACCACTGTCTCCTTCATGCAAAATTCTACTTTACAAAGTGGGGAGAAAGGTCTGCAAAGTTTAAGAAGAGAACTCCCAGAATGACCACCAACTGGGAACTCTTTGAAACTATTTCGGCCATGTGGGAAGATGCTGTTGTTGACAACATCGACCAGGAATATGATCAACTGTTTCAGCACCTCCATGACTGTGTGAGGAATGCCAAGAGTGGGAAAGCCATAAACAGATGCCTGTCTTTGGAAACTCTCAAGTTCATTTGCCAACGTGATTTAGCGTGAGCCTCAGGCAA